GGATTACTTAATCAACATTGTGGAACAAAACAGGAAAATATAGTTCAAAATTGTCATCGTAGATTGTATTTATCCATTTAAAAACAAAAATTGAATTTAAAAGTTTACGGCGGTCAAAAACGAAGTTAAAATTTCTTACTAACAAAACCAAATTTGCGAGAATAAAACAAAAAAAAACTTATTTTGAACACATTGTAATCTAGTCGATTAAAATAGAATTGAGAATAACACTACAAAATTCAAGATACGACCTAAAAGTAACTAAAGCCTTATTATCATTAATATGTCTGCAATGCCTCCAAAGAAAACCAAGTAATTTGTTACATTTAGAAACAATAAAACCAATATTAGTGCACTTGTCCATTCAGTTCCCTGTTGTTTAATGGATATACCACCTAGGATAGGGATTAAATTCGCTGATTGGCGTATCGTTGGCGCTCGTGCCTAAAGAAATGAAATGAAAATGAAATGACTAATTTTCACAACTATGCATAGGACTGTTTAATTGAAATGTGTAACCATTTTGAAATAATACTGTAGGCAGTATTACATAATATTAATAGACCAACTATCAAATAAGATTTTATTGGTACTTTACTTTTATTTAAGATCTAGTCCTATGAATTGTCATTTATATTATTTCATTTCTTCATGGGTGTGGGGCCTCTGACTTTGGGGTAGAGGTGGGTTGGGGGTGCCGAACCTCGGGGTCCCGGTTCACAGAACTGTCTGCCGCTAGTAGGCCACTGTTCGGCGACGCTGGTAGGTCGCACGATCGGGCCGCCTTCCCGATTGCAAGTTCGATGGACAACTCACAGGGCAACGATTGCAGTGAAAACACTGAAAACCATGTTTTATAAGGTCGTAGACCTAATTAACTGTACTACAAAAAAACACTGTAAAATTTCGACAGTGTCAATCATATGCTTTTTAAAGGTCGTAATTAACTATTCTACAAAACTCTGTAAAAAAATTCAATTCAGAACTCACTCCTTTAATGTGTTCATTCATTTTGGATTGGATTGGACTGATTTATTCGGTGTAAACACCAAGGATAGCCCACGAAAGTCAAAAAGAAGACTTATTTCCAGAGGGGAACTTCTGATGGTGATTTGACAGTACACCGGGCGACAATCCCCTCTTTTTCCGATGAGTGTACTGCGTTCTATAACGCGCACATGGGCCATACATGCACACGGGACCAACGGCTTAAGCGTCTCATCCGAAAGACGGGGGCGCTATTGTAACTTGTATTTCAGCCTTCCGGCTGAAACACAAAAAGAGGCAGCGATGGGAATTGAAACGTGGACCACAGATCTCCACTCCACGGTTCAGCGCACACACAGTGGCTACCCCCAGCTTAGCCGACTGAGCTAAGTTGCTCTCCATCCAACCATCTACTGTATATTTATATCCTTTTTAGTATTCCTTCCAAATTCCTTCCAAATTTCATTCATCTCAATGCGGGTGCTAACTACCCGTAGTAAAATGTTTTATAGAATTCTATAGAAAGTCTATAGACATTTATGAGTTTTTATAGACTTCTATAGAAAATTGGATCCAAGAATTATTTCTCTATATAAAACCTATCCATTCTCTAT